CCTCATGGATCGTGGCCAGCGTTTCGGGTGGTGCCTTGTTTCCTGCGCTCACCGGCCTTGCGGCCGACCACATGACCTATCACAAGGCCATGTGCGTTCCCTTGGTCGGGTTCTTTGTCAGCTTTGTGTTCCCTATCTACTTAAACACGGTCTGCAAGAGAGAGTTGGACGGTTTCCGCGAAAGCAAGATTGGCTACGTTGATGAGCGACGAGGAACCATCATTGGTGACATCAATGATCTCGAGACCTTCGAGGTCATGGAGAAAAGGGGGTCCGTGAATGTTGAGAAGGTGTGAAGACGGCACAATCAAACAGGAGGAGAGGAATGGTTGAGTTCATACGTTGGAGGGCACTTGTGATTCTTTATCAGGGCGCAATTGGCGGTGGGAAGAGATGATATGCCTAAATGATACCAACATTATTGTGCACGATCTTGACATTTCTTCCATCTAGCTCGCAACTCCCTACGGCATTCTCGTTGTAACTCAATCCCTCACTTCCCAGGGTGCGTCCTCGTATTACGAGTGTCTATGTCATCCATCACCTTTCCATCGTTGAACCAAAGCCTTGGGTGGACACACTCTGGACTGTGAGCTCATCGTTCCAAGCGGGGTCGGCGAAATGAGGGTCTGACAAGAACCAGTCAACGTCACAAATAGTCATGAGGCATTGACTTGGTGTGGTTTTCTCGTATTCCGCCTCATCCAATCCAATTGGACGTCGACCCTGCCTACATACAAGTCAAAGCAAAATTGGGTCAGCAATACAAGGGTCGCACAGGACGGAGCAGACTTAGCAGGGAACAACAAAGAGCGGGGGGTTCTGGCCTGGGTTGAGGTGCAATTTAGCAGGTTAGCTAAGGCCAATTTGATCCAGTAATGCCAATTGCCGTCAGCTTGGTCGACTTCGGCTTGCCCTTCTAGATCTTTTGGCATGCTGAGTAGCGCTCAATTTGACAACCCAGATCCCTTTGCCGTAGACTCGAATGGTATATTTGCGCTTGCCTAGACTAGGAATGTTGGACTCGACCCAATCGGCACCAAGAGTCCTGAACTGTCGGCTACACAATCATGTGTGACACTTACAGAATGGTGATACCTCTCGACAACCAAGGTCAAGTCGCACAGCATTTGACCAAGACGTGGATCTGCGGCATTGGTTCGCGTCGCGCGCGCCTTCCAACTGGGCTGGAGCTGAAGTGGGAAGTTCCGCTGCTCTACATCAAGCATCAAATGTGTTCATTTCAACCTCCTTTCGACTTGACGAGACTTCTTTCTGTCTTCACAGTAGCTCCAAATCAAGCTATACTCTGCTCCCATCATGTACGGCCGCGACCCTTACACCTTCATCAACGCCTCACACGTCCCGGACGCCGTCCTCGGAGTGATCACGAAGATTCTCATATCCTGGGATCAAGCATCCACAGACTACGAATATGTCAACGCCTTCCACCCTGATGGCATCCTGCATGTCACCCCTGAGCCGGCTGTCGGCGAAGCAGCCATGAGGAAACTACACGACGACATGATTCATTCGAACAACGGTCCCATTGTGTCGCTCCAACATTACCTTGACCGAGTCTTCCCCATGCCCGGCGCACCAGATGGGAAGACGGAAGTCGTTTTCACAGGGAAACTCACCAGTGTATTGAAATCTGGGAAGGAGGTTACCACGGATTTTGCCACCTGGATCGTAGCTCGCTCGGACAATACTGGGGTTCTGAAGGTGGAGTTGCTGCGAGTGTTTTCGGACACGAGCGAATTATTGATGAATATTGGTGAGATGATGGCGGCACAGAGCTAGCTCGAGTGATTGTACGGGATCACAGGGAGGCGAGGGAATGGGAGGTCCGTTGTGGTGGAGGAACAAAAGCACGCAAAGGACACCTCGCAGAAGGTGGCTCGCTGTGAAGGCAGCGCCCTGATAAAAGCGAGATGCGGAAGACATAATATTTAGCAGAGGCATTTACATCGAGAAAAGCCTCGTGGCAATCATGTTCCTGACAAGGCTGCGGCAAAAGGGGGGATAAACAGCGAGGCGCAGATACACTGGGATGCGGATGCCCATGATGCAGCAAACAACTTAATATAAGCGCACCGTCAGTAAAAACAAAAAGAATGTTCCGAATTCACCCTTGGCACTCATAGTTAATTCCATCAGTTCTGCAGCCCGTGATTCAGCCGTGCAATACCATGGAGGGTCGGGGGAGATGCCAGAAGGAACGTATAGCGAGGGGCTGGGCAGTGGAGAAATGGTGATGGCCTCTTTACCTGCACCTCCGCCAGTCACTTCATACCCCGCGACCGCAAGAGGAAATTTCTCGCCGGACCAACCTGTACTCAAACACCAGACACATCCCTTGTCTGTCCAATCAAGGCTCTCTCTGTTGATTGTCCAGACTCTATACCCGTCAGGCAATTTTCCTCCGCTCCATCTTTCCTCATTACATGAGGCTCACGAATCCCTTATATCTACACCATCACTTACGCATTGTCCTTTAGCCAACATGAAACTACAAGTCACCTCGCAAATTCACCCATGGCCTCACAAGCCGTCGAGGTCACGTCGATTCCTCAGCTCGTTAGGCTTGTTACCACAAGCCTGCAGCCCGCCTCAGGCGCAGACTATGTGGCATTGGTCATTGCGGCCGTGATTGTTGCGGGATACTTGACTAGAGGGACGCTGTGGGATAAGCCAGACCCTTATAGCTACATCTACTTTGAACGACCTCAACAGCGCAATGGCGTAGCGAGCTCGCAAACTCCATCACAGCGCAACATCGCAAAGAAGCTGTCCGAAACCGACAAAAGAGCCGTTGTCTTTTGGGGTTCTCAATCCGGAACAGCAGAACGTTTTGCCAGTCACCTTGTCAAGGAGGTGCAATCGCGGTTCGGACTTGGTGCGCTGTCTGCCGATCTTTCGGACTACGACTCGGAGTCTATCACTGAGCTATCGGATGGTCGATTCGCGATCTTCATCCTCTCGACGTACGGCGAAGGTGACCCCAGCGACAATGCCAATGGTTTTTGGGACTGGATCAACCGCGGATCACCGCATTCTCTTTCGAACCTACAATTTGCTGCGTTTGGTCTCGGAAACAGCAACTACAAATACTACAACCGCGTCGTCGATGTGGTGGTCGAAGCACTGACAAGGAAAGGAGCAACTCTTCTCTTACCGGCGGGTAAAGCAGATGACGCGGAACACTCTACCGATGAAGACTTCCTTTCATGGAAAGATGACCTCTTCGCTATGTTCAGGAGTAAACTGGGGATAGAAGAACGCGTGGTCGAATATCAACCTAGCATTATTGTCACCGAAGACGATTCTCTAGCGCTCATCGACATCCATCAGGGCAAGCCCACGCATTCCAGGGACAACCCCAAAGCCGCTGCGGCATGCTCACCCATTCGACCACTATCAGTCACGAATTCGCGGGAACTCTTCCAGAATTCCGAGCGAAATTGTGTCCACATGGAGCTTGACCTTGCGGAGCATCCTGAGATTCACTACAAGACGGGCGATCATCTTGCCGTATGGCCCACAAACCCGGAACCAGAAGTCGAAATACTTATCTCGGTTCTGCATCTACATGATCGTCAAGACTTTCCGTTAAGCCTCAAATCCGTCGATGCGGCAACTAAGCTCCAAATTCCGACCCCTACAACAATCCGTGCTCTTTTCCACAGATACCTGGAAATATGCGCCCCAGTATCGCGGAGCACCATCCAAGGACTCGCTGCCTTCGCTCCGTCACCCCAAGCAAAGCAGCGGGTCCTTGAACTTGGCCAAGACAAAGACCTTTACATGTCATTCCTGAAGAAGAACCACCTGACGCTAGGTCGGCTACTCAAGCTTGCCAGCCGGGGGGAACCATGGGCCAAGCTACCCCTGGCTTACTTGATAGAGGCTCTGCCTCTGATGCAACCGCGCTACTACTCGATCTCGTCAAGTAGCGTGCTCATCCCACGAAAGGCCGCGATCACTGCCCTCGTCGCTTCGGGTCATGTCCCTGAAAATCCAGAGCAGAAGATCCTAGGTGTCACATCCAACTATCTCCTTGCACTATCGCAGACACATCCTGCCTCTGCCGCAGCAGATATACAGGCAGAGAAGGTCACCTCTCCACAGTACGACCTCCTTGGTCCTTCTAACCTCCTTCACGGCACCAAGATCTTCGGGCACGTCCGCAAAAGCAAGTTCAAACTCCCCATCCAATCCAGCTGTCCCATCATCATGGTCGCGGCGGGGACCGGGATCGCCCCCTTTCGAGCCTTCATTGCCGAGCGGGCAAAGCTCCACGCCATCGGAAAACCTATTGGGGAGATGATGCTGTTCTTCGGCTGTCGCCGGCCCCAAGAAGACTACATCTATCGTGACGATCTGGAGCAAGCTCAAGCCGCGGTCGGCAAGCACGTCTTCCAGATCGTCACGGCCTTTTCGCGCGTGCCCGGCCAAGACAAGGTCTACGTTCAACAGCGCGTGCGAGAACACGGCACCCAAGTTGTCCAGATGATCGAGGAGAAGAGTGCAAACCTGTACATTTGCGGGCGCGCCTCCATGGCGAGAGAGGTCGGGTTCAATCTGGGTGAGACGGTGAAGGCGCTGAAAGGATGGAGCGATTCTGAGGTCAAGGGCTGGACTGAAGCGCTCAAGCGGACGGGCAAGTGGAGGGAAGATGTTTGGGGATGAAGAAAGGGGTCTCACACAAATTAGAAGAGCGTTCTCTCTCTCCGTGTTCAGTTGAGACGTGTCATTGAGATTTCACACCACACGTGCTGCCCTTGTTCGATAAGTGTCCGACCAACGCACATTTTTATAGATGAGGTAAAACGACAATTCGAATAAAGGTGCGACCTACAGTACCACTCTAACTCTTCAAACGCTTCATATAAGCAATGTCAGTCGTGTTCAGGTCTGCTATATTAATCACAATTTCACCAGGCCGTCTCCCTCCCCCTTGATATCATGAGACAATCAAACATAATATACAACACCAATCAGAAAAACATCAAAGGGATCATAGAACCGCGCCACACGTCGTTCACTTCGTGAAAAAGCTCCACAACCCGCGGATGCCAACCGCCCAAGCCACCTCTGAATTGATGGATCTCGTTTTTGACATCGAGATGGCTGAACGCCTCTTCGTTCTCCTCGGCCAGAGAGAGGACCTCGAGCCCACAGTGAAAGATATACCGCACCAGGCCACAGTCCCGTTTGACTTCTGTGTGGCGTCCATTAACACGAGGACATTGCCTTCTTGTGCAGAGCCATGGCTTCTCGAAAGCCGCGTTGATGAGGTACAGGCCGTGGGCGAGGTAGATGGAGCGTTCAATTGCCTTTGGTGAAGCGACTTGGGCTTCCTCCCGTTCCACCGTCTGCTTCCTCCCCCACCACTGCATGCGGTTGGGCGACATAACCTTAGGCGTCAACCACTTGCTCTCATGTTTGTAGCGTTTCAGGAGACTGCTTTGAAGACTATGAAGCGCAACCCCGTAGTCAACGAGACGCGGATTGCGGCTGCTACCAGCAACACCTTGAGAGAAGACCGCAATTCGGTATGCTTCAAGCTCTGCAAACAGTTGGGCGATGTCACCGTTGACCCCTCTTCCGCAGAAACCAGCATGCTCCCAGAAAGCCATTCCAAATGGTTCGTCCGTTTCTCCCGGTGTCAAGGTGGCCAAGATGCTGTCAAAGGAGCAATTACCATGACTGAAGCACTAATTGTCTGGAAAATATTGCCGGTCGACGTCGTCAAGGAGAATTCTGCAGAAACGGTCCAACACGTTCGGAGACTCCACAAATACCTCCATGTGCCGAACGTGATTTCGCCATTTTGTAACCTCTCCACGAAGTCTGTGTCTCCCTTCATCCGCACAGGCAAATTTCGTAGGCGATGGAGCATTGTTCGTCAACTGCAGCTGTTTCATGATATGAGGGTCGTGCATCGTGGCAAGCAAGACAGCCAATCTCGTACCCAGCAACTTGAAAAAGGGCCTAACGACCCGAGGGCACGCAAAGAGACTTCGAACTGCAGATCGGTCTGCCGTTCTTACGCGACTTTGAGTATTTTGGTCAAAGGCTTCACCGAACAGGAGTGAAAGTGGCCGCAGGTTGCCCCACGCCGAAGTGAGCAAGATCGAGCGTTCAGGGTCATAATGGAGAGGCCTAGGAATATGAACATCTGTTTGTTGCTGAACATCATACAACGACCCCATGGACAGTGAGTCCAAGGAACAACGACGAAACGGCATAAGTCGAGCAAGTCCTCCCCTTCTGGACGGGGTGTGTAGTTCGGGCGACGAGGGTTTCGTGAATAATAACAATGCAGCTTGGTGGATGCTCTGCGAGTCGGGTTAGTAACTGGTAAAGTAAATATGCCATGTTGATTCGAAACAATTAGGGACGTGAAGAGGGATCTGGACACAGAAATATAGAAGACATCTGCCCTTACTAGTGCTTTGGGGTGAGAATCTTCGGATGTTTGAGGATCTGAAGGAGGCTCAGGAAGATGGTAAAGGACCAGCGAAGGAGGAAAGGACGGGTCATGGTTCAGCTCGGCATATCCGGTGGACTGATCACGGATTGTCGCTTGAACAAGGACGGAATGTTCTGCACCTGGTAGGTTACGCAAAGGGATGGTGTCGTATCTCGCATATTGCTGGCTGTCGTTGAGGCGATTCAGGTAGCCTTCAGGATCAAGAGCATATGCTAACGGTGCTGAGGATTGACTCGGTAAGATGAAGTGATCCATGTCTAGAGTTGATACTCGGGATTTTGCGCAACAGTGGCCGTGTTTCGTCGAAGAGGAGAGGGCAGAGGAGAGTAATGATCGAGAACTCACGAGCTAAGTGGAGAAGATGAAAAGATGCGTCAAATAATCTGGCGTACTGGAGATGACATACATAAGCCTGGCCGGCCTAAATAAAAAGCAAAGGGATGAGCATTTGAAGCTGCTGTTGTGATGCAAAGGAGGCAACGTCTTCTGTTCGACCAAAGGATTCCGGTAGACATGAAAAAGGCAGGAGGGAATCCAGGCTGAACTGATGCAATGAATGGCAAGCACGAGCATCTCGGCTGCCTCCATGCAAATCTATTCGTGATACTCATCTCCTGTCCAATCGACGAACAGGTCAAGTCGCTGAATCGGTACATGTGATTGAGAGCGCTGGGTCGCGGTTGCAGAAAAAACGCTGAAACGGCACTGTACATTCCTGTGGCAGTCTATCTCCCATGATACTCGGACCCAGCTGTCAAGGATTATTTAGATGTGAAGGAAAACGTGAGAAAGCCGGCCACCCAAAAAGTGGCCATTCATCATTTGCCCGGGTATTTGGCCTTTCCAAACGAGAAGGGTACGTAACGGTACTTGATCATATGTTGGATCTGTCGTCTCACTGGGATGCAATGTCAGCGACGGCACTCGCTCGTGGAGGATGGATCAGCTCACTAGTTAGGGAGAAGAGGATCAGCCAGTACATAACGAGCACAGGCCAGAAGACCGGCAGGTTGAAGATCTCAAACCAACTGCAGAGAAAGCTTATGGTGATAGCTCTTGTTGCAGAATGCCAGAACTTGAACTCGGGCAGCCTTCTGATGAACGGTCTGAACTCGTCATCATTCTTGGTGGGCAGAGATGAGCCTTCACCATCCTCGAGTCCCTCGTCCTGCGACAGGCTGGGATCGAATTTGGGCTGAAGGAACGCAAGGAAGAGATTGAGCAGGTAAATGCCCAGACAATAGGCGACGATATACCAGCCTTGAGCGACAATGATCCGGAGGAAGAAGAGAAGGAGGAGCACAGCGGTTGCCGACCATCGGTAGGCGACGTAGGGGGTTGATTTGTCGAGGTAAGTTTGGTATTGCTGCAGGAGATCTTTGTTAGCGGCCTGAAATTGTTTCCCCTCTTGGAGTGCCAGTTCATACCCTTAGCAGCTTATTGCTCTGTGTACTTATGGCGTCGAAAGGGGTAGTTTCCGGCTCAGGTCCGTCCATAGTGGCAGCGCTCGTCGGTAGTGTTGCGGAGATATAGGGCCTGCGCATGCAGTTCAGGCGCGGTTGGGGACAAGGTATGGGTGAGGCGCGCACAAGTTCAGGATGTCTGTTCCAACGAAGAACAAACTCGTCGTAGAGTTAGAGACGATATTTGGCGACAAGGAATGAAATAACAATGTGGCGAGATGTGTTAAAGGGGGTGGAAGTCTGTTTGTTGAAGCCACGTCGTGTTTTTCACTCGTGGCAGCCGTTCACAAAACTTGGGAGTGGAGGCTCCAGAGCGCAGGGCAAACGTCCAAAACTGCGCCTCACTAGCCACACCCGCTTCTGCCTGTGGCGGCAAGTTTGAATGCTAGCAGGCTAGTTAATCCGTTCCGGGGTCCTCATGTCTTCCCGCGGCGAATCGTCGGTGGTCGGCCAAAACTGCGGACCAGCAGCCGAGGACAAACAGGTGGGTTGCGGGCTTGGGCTTGTGTTGTGCGGTGTCGAAGCTGTGTCAATGCTTCACCTGCAATATGTAAAGCATCACTCCCTCGAGATCTCTGCGATCTCCTTGATAATACTGTATAGCAACAACTTTGCACAATGGCTCCTCTGAGGCTGCTCTCGCGTCCTGCTGCTGCCCTCTCTGCTGTGCCACGAACCCTCCCACGGCTGGTCCGCTTTCAATCCACTTCCAACAGCTATGAAAACATTTTGGTGTCTACACCCAGACCAGGCGTTGGACTCAGTACGTTTTTACAACTATGGTTGTGTCTACCACAGGGTACCGTCTGACATTTCCAGTCACGCTCAATCGTCCGAAAGCCCTGAACGCCCTCTCTAGTGCTCTGTTTGTCGAATTAAACGATGCCCTGAAGAAATACGAAGACGACAAGGATATTGGTGCTATTGTTCTGACCGGCAGTGACAAGGCATTTGCGGGTAAGGAAAAGAGCATATCTGCAACAGATTGATCGCAGACTGAAAGGTTGTAATTAGCCGGAGCAGATATCAAAGAGATGGCTCCCTTGACCTTTTCCGACGCCTATGTCAACAACTTCATAGCCCCTTGGTCTTACATGACAACCCTACGAAAACCCATCATCGCAGCAGTCTCGGGACATGCTCTTGGTGGAGGATGTGAGCTTGCCATGATGTGCGACATCCTGTACTGCACCAAGACTGCAAACTTTGGGCAACCCGAGATCAAGCTTGGCACAATACCAGGTGCAGGAGGGTCCCAGCGCCTCACTGCAGCCCTTGGGAAGAGCAAGTCTATGGAACTCATTCTCACAGGTAACAATCTTAGTGGCGAGGAGGCCGAGAAACACGGTCTCGCTGCCAAAGCCTTCGAGGGGGGAAACAAAGAGGTTCTTGAGGGTGCTTTAAACACGGCGGAAAAGATTGCTAGTTACAGTCGGGTGGCGGTCATTGCGGCCAAAGAAGTTGTCAACAAGAGCCAGGACCTTGGGGTCAGAGAGGGTGTTGAGTACGAACGACGCATATTTCACAGTTTGTTTGGTAGCCAAGATCAAAAGATTGGCATGAAGGCGTTTGCAGAGAAGAAAAAGGCCGAGTGGACTAACTCATGATGGCTGCTGCAACAAGGTCAAGCTCAGACACAGGCTCCGCTTTAGGAGTGCAGAGAATGCTGAGTTTGGGGATCTATGTATACACAGTGACAATCAGGAAATTGGTCTAACTTATAATAGATAAGGAAAGGCGTCCGGCCTCGTACTCGGTACTGCGACACCATGTATACCTAGCTGAGTTGAAAGGATACAAGAGATATAAAAGCCCCACAATATATGGACATGCCGTAGATAGATCCCTAGGCATGTACCGAGTTTCCAGTCAGTAAACACCTTTTAACTCCATTCACCGCTTCCTACGACGTACCGAGTACATCTCCCGCTATTTGGCCGGGAATGCCTCAGGGAAATCCAAGTTGAGGTCGTACGAAGTCAAGGATGGACCAAGGTCGTACAACTTTGAAGCCCCGAATCCGATGGCCCTGGAGGATCTGAGCCATACTCTGGGGGCCCAGCATGAAAATGGCCCAGAAGGGGTTCCACCGGGACATGTAAACACTGAGCTCGCCTGGGGAAAAGGTGTCTGACCCTCACGATGAGTTATCAAGGGGGCAGAAACCACTGGAGTCATCCTTGGGACATACGTACACCGCAATTATTCAAAGGATCAAAGCCAAGCCGAAAACCCTTCAAGTAGAAGACGCACGATGGCACCTTGAAGCCCGCTTACTGTCTGTAGCCTAACAGGCTATTTAGCCCTTTTGCCAGAGTATACCTAGCGACGGGATCCAAGCTTCAACTGGAGGTGACCCCTCCGAAACAGGTACTCGTATTACTTTGGACGAGCAGCAGAACTATTCGGAATGTTCCTTTGCGTCGCGATTCCCTGCTACCCGACCTACACCTCCATCCATATCTGACGGATAGTATGAAGTGGCCTAGCCTGGACCTCATACACAGAAGTACGTAGTATGGACACGAATTGAGCATTAATAATGCCTCCGGATGTATCACTCTGTTGTAGCCGTTCTCGGTACACGTACGTCCCTGGTCGGCTGGGAACAAATCCGGATTGACAGGGTCCGTTTAGATAAAATATCACTAATTTGTGGCTGGCCTTTTACCTTGTGTGTATGACAAACGCCACCAAATGACGAGGTGGATTGCCCCTCGCTAAAGAACCGTGAGTATGCAGTATGCCGCTATTGTCGAGTTGTGAGGCCTTGTCCTTGTGTGCGCAGTGTACAACTAAAGCCCTGCGTATTGTGCTCGTATAGTAAAACGAATATTTTGGGAATCTGGAGTGAGCGTCGAGGACGACAATGACTGAGACTTGACGTCGCTCCCTTTCCGCCGTCTGTTTCTTCTCTGAGACTCGTTTCTTTTCTCCCTTTCTCACCCTCTCCCACAAGTCACTTCGATGGTAGCAAACTTGTGATTTGGCTGCCAGTATTTGCAAAAACCCTGTCAGCACTCAATCCGACTCCCAAAGCCTCGTCAGGCCCACCAGTGCTACTGCTTACTCGACAAGGAGTGTGCTAGACTCTGGTCGACTCGTGTACCTCGTACTTGTGGGTGGGGTTAGCAGAAAATGGATTACTTGCCATGCTTTCGTATCTCCTCCTCAAACCGAACCCCACAACTCTTTGTCCTTTGAACCACCGTGTCAGGTCTCAGGAAAGGGGGGGCAAGACGGGTATCTCACCAGTTGATTCGCCACGTCGGCTGCGAAGGAATACTGGGACACTTCCAACCCATGGGCTTATGACCCTGGAGGCTGTTGGCCTGACCAAGCGACATGGTTGCTAAACCCAATTTGGGGGAAGAGCGCAAGAGGGGTTGCATACGGTATCGTTCACTGGTGCTGTTCTTTTGGCCTTTTGGTTGTCGTGTCTTTTGAGTGTTTGATCAGAGCTGACCCTCAGTCGAGCCATGTCCTCAGCGTATATAAGACCACCTTGTGTCCTGGCCATTTTTTCTTCTTCTGTGAACATCTCGTTAATCACTCACCATTGACCAAGGCCAGCTCCCTACCCCTCAATAACCATAGCCTTACCGATACAGCCCCAACACAAGATGGCTCCCTCAGCAGCCGCCGATGCTCCCGCCCAGGGATTCCAGCCAAAGCACATCGAAGACCGTCTCTTTATCAATGGTGAATTCGTTCCGTCAAAGTCAGGGAAGAAGTTCGACATCATCAACCCCAACAACGAGAAGTTGGCTGCATCGGTATATGAAGCTGGCG